GTTATAAGAGAGTTAAAAAATAGCAGTACAGGTGTTCTCCGAGGGTTAAAACAGTAGTCTTTAAACAGAAAGTTGCCCTTACTGGAAAATGTAAAAGTGGGCAAGGTACAAACCCAAGTCCTTTATTGCATGATGGTCTTTGTCAGGGCAAACGATTCCCAAGACTGAGGATTTAAAGCTGAAACAAAGAGAATGTTTGGTGAATTTTATCAAGGGAAAAGACGTTATTGCCCTTCTTTCTACGGGATTTGGGAAAAGCTTAATATATCAGTTAGCCCTGTTAGCGTCGCATTACATACATCACGACCAAATAGCAGCGATTGGTTAAATAGTAAAAAATACCTGCCTACTGTCGAGCGAACAAATTCTAATGCTGTGAGATCAGACGGTTTCCATGAAGTGAAACTGGCTGATGAATCAGACTAAATGCCACTTGCTTGTCTCTGGGGAAATGTTATCACTTTGTCAGAATGTTCCTTAGTATTAAACGAATCTGTCTTGCATAATTTCCAGTGTTTTAACTGTAAGATAAAACAAAACATGATACAAAACATGTATTCTTACTGTGTACAAGGTCACTTCTTTAGAGCTCTGACATGTAATTTACCCTGGTGGTGTCACCTGCTTGTCTCCATGGAGATAGATAAGTTAATGCCACACTGTAGAAAATTCCTGGCAAAGCAATATAGCATCTCCATTTAGACAGCTAGGTGGTTGACCTCACACCAGAAAGTTATAATATATGCACCTATAAAAACAGTTTAAAAATATGCTACAGGTCAAAAGTTTTAGAACACCACACTTTTCCAGTTTTTTACTCTTTACTGTTGACCAAAACGTATTCTAAACTTTTGATTCATGAAAGTGTCCACCTTTGGCAGATATAACAGCTGAACACACTCGTGGCTCGTTCTTTTTACAATAGAAATCAAATATTCTTCAGAAAGTTCTTCCCAAGTCTGTTGCAGAAGTTCCCATAAATGTGTGGCACCTGTAGGTTGTCTGGCTTTCACTCTTCTGTCCAGTTCATCCCAAAACAGCTTGATGGGGTTTAAATCTGGAGACTGTGCTGGACACTCCATGTTTTCATGCTCCCAATCTTTTTCTTTCTTCCTGAGGTAGTTTTGGCAGAGCTTGGACTTGGGTTTTGTTATCTTTTTTTCTTTTTTTTTTAACCTCTGGCTGTTCAGTACTTACCTTTGTACCATTTCAGGCTCTTCACTGGACTTGCACGACTTGAATTGCAATGAATAACTGGAAAAAATAGGGTGTTCTAAAACTTTTGCCCAGTAGTGTACATGAGCAGCAAAATGCATTCTTAAAATATTTGTTATATCTTGATTTATGCCCTGTTTCCTGAAGATCTATTTAGCCCAGACCCATCCAGGAAAAGGGAATCTACACAGAGCTGGAGTGCTTTGACCATGATGTTGATGCTTTAACACCAACACATGCACATACAATGGAGCTTGAGGCATTTCCTTCCCTTTTCGCTGCAGAGTGTTTCCCAGTTCAATAGGAGCACAGCGCAGATAAAGTGTCAGCCTTTCTCTTTCACCTCTTTGACTCTTAGAAGTGCTATATTATGACATGACCACACAGCAGATGGCAGATGTCTGTATTGGTTACCCATACATGGTATTGTGTTACTTGAGGTTGTTGCAGATCACTGGACACGTCTGCACAGAGAAGCACTAATGGGAGGAAAGTGTAACTCGAGACAGACGCTGAGTCCCAATAGACAGTGGGGGCTTTCGCTCAAGGCCTTTCTCCTACACTTGGAGCTTGGATGGAGTCAAATACGAGTAACTATAGGCATGGCTGTGTGAATGAATGTCAAGATGCAAAAGTGTGCCAAATCTTGACAGGCATACAGGCCCAGGAGGCATAGTCAGCAATTCAAATATATTCAAAGTACAACCAGAGCATTTGTTCTAACAGGTAAAATAATTAGGACATTTTAGAAGTGACTTGAATTTTTCAGAGCATTTATACTGGTCATTGTGTACTGATGTGGAATTAATCTTTGGCTCACCATCACTTGAAAACATTATAAAAACAGATTATAATTTCCACTGAAGAATGTGCAGATGAGATGGTTTCACATTAAAGAGCCCATATTATGCTATTTTCAAAAAAAATACCAGGAGTTGTGTTTTGTTTCATTGAGACATGTTTAACACTCACATCTGGCATATTTAGGCTGAGTTCTTGTCTTAAACAGAAAACACTCTGTTCTTTGTGATGTGATAATAGGAAGCACTCCACTGTGTTTTAAAATGACATACATCTTCAGAAGAATCATTTAGATAATTTCAGTCCTGGAGTTGGCAAAAGCATTTTGAGCTTTAGAGATGTAGGCAGACTAATAATAAAGGATTACTCAAATGTGGAATGACACAAACCACAACTCCAGGTATGTTTTTAATGAGGCATCAACATTATAATATGGCTTTAGGTTCATAAGAGTCAATTTTGTATATTATAGGAGCTTTAAACTTGTTGTTAACATACATAATATAATGTGTTCTCCCAGGTATAATTTGTGTCGTGATGTATTTTTTGTGGTAATTGTCCAGCCCTTCTTTTGTTTGTTTTTTCAAAGAAATATGTTTAAAAGTGATTTTCTCTTTAGTAGTTAAGAGTCATATTCTTATTCATCTTTTTGTCATTTCTGAGAATTAGTTTGAATGTCTAATTTCTCAGAATAGACAAATGCATGATCTAATGTTTTCAATTTACATCAACCATGCACCACACAGTGTTATACAAAAAGCCACCCCAGGAGACTACAGCGCTAGACTTACTCTGAAAGTGCTCATAATAAAAACATGCTGTGGTCTTAATGGGCTGCAACTCCACAGAGTACAATGGCCGTTCTCTTTTATTTGATGTCAGTCTTCCTGTCACATGGTCCAGGGATGACATCACAGAGGTCAAATGGGTGGAGTTAGGGGCTGCGGTGGAGGTGGTAGCTTTGTTTGGGTCATGGTTTGTTTGGCATCTGCATTCCTATTTACAACATATGGTTATAATCACAGTCAGGCAAAAAAAAAAAAAAAGTCATAAATCAAATGATGATTTTCAAAACACATTCCTGGTACATTTAGAGGTTTGACTAAGTTAAACAGGGATTAAACTTGAATTTAGATGAACTTTATTAAATCACAAAGAAAGTGAATAGGCCACAACATTTGAAAGCACATATTTCAGGAAATGGAATGGAAAAGATAAACTCCTTGAACCTAAAATCATAACGTGGCAGTGAATGAAATGAAATTAAACTACATAGACCATGATCCATTGCTTATATAAAATATGCAAATGCTGCTACTAAACAACTGTTACCCCTACTTGTTGAAATCTTACTAAATATATGGACATTTGTGGTGTTCAGCAGTACCATGCATAGCTACTATAGTTATTATTACTCAAAACTTTTACATTGAACTCATAAATACCATCACTGTTGCACTACAAAAGCCTCTGTGACAGCGATCCCATTGAGTGTGTGTGTGTGTGTGTGTGTGCGCAGTAGTGAGAGTGGTGCAGCTGTGCATAAAGAGACCCTTGATTCCTCACATTTGAGCCTCCTCTTCCCTCAGTCCGGCTCTGTTTTGTACTGAAGCCCTGAAGCTACAGCAGGTGGGACGACCCAAACACAGACAAGGCTTTGTAGTTGGTCACAGTTTTGTACATGATCATTTTTCACAGGGGTCATGTTTGGGTTAATTATCAAACAGCAATTCAGTGAAGCTATATTATAGATATAATAGGGGGCATGTAATATGCACTATGGTCACCCTCTTGTCTCCATTAAGTTGTTTCTGTTTTGCCTGGAGTGTCCCACACCCAGGCATTAATGATTTATAGTAGTGGCTCTAAAGATGCTCTAAAGGAAGGGCATCTGGCATCAAACGCTGCCAAAGTTTATATGAGAATAGATAGAGACCAATGAAAGAGACACTGGAGATTCTGTGCATCTTGCAGATATAGACTAATAGAACGTAAACGTACCACTTACTAATACTGTTTTTCAAACCAATACAGCCAAATGTGTTTTTTGGATTTGCCCCTCCCCCTCCGCTGTTTGGGGCGTGTCCTGGACTCCACATGACATTGTGGCTCTGGTATTTCCAACAGCTGTAGAGCCCATGGGAAAGTTCTCAAACCGCTGCACCAGTTGTTTTTCATTCATTTAGTTTAATGTTAGCTTTAGCCCCAGTCAAATCAATACAGTGTTGATAAGAAGATCACATTCCATTCTTATGTAATTATCCAGTGGCTCAGTTATTTAATGTTCATGTTCTTGACTTAATGATTAATCTTTTTATCTACAGGTGGCACTGGCAGGGCATCTGGGTCAACTGGCAGCACCTGTCGGAAAAGGCATAAGCGACCTGGATACATGAGAGGAGAGCGACAACCAAACGATGAGGAAGAGGAGGAGGAGGAGGAGGAAGGGTGTGGTGTTTTGAGGAATGGGAAATCCGGACGTCATACTAGCAATGCTAATGACGCAACAAATACCAAGAACTTAGTGAATCAAGCTAATCAACTTTCAAGTACCGTTTTGCACAAAAATATTTTAAGTTCCACTGTTTCTACACATTCCACTATGAACTGCAATGGCACATTAAATAATATGAAGTCACCGGTTTTGAAAACTGAAAAGACAATCCCAAAATCGCCACCTTTTGAGAGCTCTTTTAATTCAAGTTTTAGTTTTATCCAGCAGTCACTCAATTGTAGCCAAGATTTTAACACTGCACCTGAACCACTAAATGACACCAGCTCAAACCTTGCATCTTTGTCAATAGACCAAAATCAGGTACAATCACTGCCATTGGAGAAAGAGGACCATAAGTTTTGGAGAGATGGTCTGTGGAGCACCAGGACAGATGGGGATACCGGGTCAGATCTACCTGATATCGATACTCGTTCGGTGGATACAGAGATCACATCATCCCTATCTGTGGATTCGGACACAGCCTCGGCCTCTTCCGTCACTTCTGGATATGAGAGCGCCACTCCTGCCTCCACGGAGCAGGGCTGGGAGAGTCTAGTGAAGAAGTATGACGGGGTGCTACAAGAGTGTCTGCAGAACAACCGCACACACACCAAGGTGGGTTTAAAACAGGTAAATTCCCATGGTGGTGGAGTTTCCCCATCAGAAAAGCAGGGTCCAAAATTCCAAGTCACAAAGAAATGCTTGTTGTCAAGTGTAGCTGGTCATTCTACCTTTATTTCTTTGCATTTTGATTTATAGAGCATAACCAGAATAGTCTGGCTGAGATTAAGAATCTATTTTTCAGGGGATGATGTCCCTTTTTATTCAAATCAGAACAAATAAATTCTGCCATATTGGACGTAAAATCAAATAAAATCAAAGCACTGCAGACGATATGCAACTATAATGGGTTTGTCAAGAGGACCATGATTTTTATGCAGGACAATGCTCCATCGCAGGCATCCATATGCACATAATTGTTAGCCAAGTTGTACTTAGGATTAATTTTATAATTGAACAACTACAGTGTTTTCGGTCAAACCAAAATGTTAATAAATCTCAAACCTGAATATTTAAGAAGAAAAATGAACATTTTCCATTCTGACTTGTTTATTTTCATCTGTCAGAATAGTAAACAACTCAAAATTTACAAATAAACATTTATGACATTAAAAATAAAAAAAATCTGTGACCAATATAGCCACCCTTCTCAATAATGGTCATAAACTGTCCATTCATGGAGTCTGTCAGTTTCTTGATCTGTTGAAGATCAACTTTTTGTGCAGCAGGAACCACAGTCTCCCAGACACTGTTCAGAGGTGGACTGTTTTCTGTCACTGTAAATCTCCCTTTCAAGAAGGGCCCACAAGTTCTCAGTAGAGTTTAGGTTAGGTGAGGAAGGGGCCATGTCCTTATTTTTTCATGTTTAAGGCCTTTACTGGCAAGCCACACAGTGGAGTACTTGGATGCCTGCGATGGAGCATTGTGCTGCATAAAAATCATGGTCCTCTTGAAAGACGCAGACTTTTCTCTGTATCTCTGCTTGAAGAAAGTGTCTCAAAAAAAAAAAAAAAAAACTGGCAGTAGGTTTTGGAGTTCATTTTGGGTCCATCTTCAGACAGAATATGACAGTGCTGGAGAACAATGGCTCCCTTGTAGCTTCATGTTTGATTCTTCTCACGTCTCTTGCAGTTAATTTGTGTCTTTTTTCTCAACACGTTTCTTGCAGCACTGTTGATTTTTTGTCTTTGTGTTGTTTTCAAGAACTTTCAGTACACCACGTGACATATACGGCTGTACATAGCTACTCGGATCTCTACATCCAGTATAAATATTAAGATTAATTTGTGTCTCTTATAAAATATAAAATGGTAAATTGAATGCTTATTTGTTGTGTACAGAGCTTTAAAATTAAAGCAGCCTTTTAAACTTCACTACACTTGACACTTTTGGATATACTGCTGAGTGGCTCTCACCTCTGCTCTTTGCACTCTGGGTGCTGTGTGTGGTCATTGTTTAAACAGTTTTACTCTGGTCATTTGTGTGTCTATCTCAGATCGAGTCCATGATGTTGAAGCTCCAGAGGCTGCAGCAGAAAGCCATTCAGGAGGACGACTATGATGCAGGTAAATAACCTAAATAACCTTTATCTTTGCATTATTTCATATGTGTCTGTGTAAAGTGTACTATCAAGTTAATGCATTTTGGTAGTATTGTTTTCTTGCATTATGCAACTGGTTATACAGTTGTAGTAGTACACTCATTGCTTTATATTGCTCATTCACTCTCTCCACACTTGGTGATGGTGGAAAACTCTAATGTAGCCACAGCTGCTAGAAGGCTACCTGGCTTACTTTCAATCTCCTACTCACATAGGCCTGTCACAATAATTGCTAGTGACTATTTGAATAAATAGTGTAGTAATAAGTAAATAATAATAAATAGTAATAAGACTTGTATGTACATGTAGCTGGGTTTACCATGCTTTGTATCTGTGGCATAAAATAGTTTCCATATTATTGTTTTCTTTTCTTCAGTAATATATCATGCTTCAAAATGTGTAATTGTGACTGGCCTATACATCATGTTTGTATTTGGTCAAGGTGTCTTCCCCAATGACCAGTTATAAAAAGACCACTCTGACCCCCATCTGAGCCACTGCTGCATTATTACTTCACCTGCAAGTCACAGCTGGCTTAGGACAGACAGACTGACAAGCCTACCATTTTATACCTCTGTCACCACCACCAAACTTGCACATTCACTTCATATGTAACAAAGCAGCAGTGTGTCAGTTGGATAGATTTCACCACCAACCTCTGGGTTATTGAGCAAACATTTCTAGGTCACTGGTCTCGTTACTGTCCCAGACTGACCATCACTCGGTCACATGCAGCCTCTGTGGTCTGTCTGAGTTCACCAGTTCATCCAAACATGCTTCTCTCAAATACAAATGTGAATACTGTTTACAATATTTGAAGTTTCCCAGTTGACTTGATTCAATTTTCTTTCTAACCGTAACTACATTAGCTTTTGATCATGTTTGAGATATCTGATAAAGCACGTGAAGAAACCAGGCCACAGATTTATTAGAAAATTTGATTGTGAAAATCTGTTTTTTTTTTTTTTTTAAACATACATTCAACACAGCAAAACTTACTATTCAAATTCAACATGATCTTTTTATTATTCAAGATGAACTGACTTTTTAAAGCAAACTTCAGTCCATCAGTGTCAGGCCTATTGTAACGAAAACATATCATCATTATTAAAGATTTATGTGTATTATTGTTTTGAAGTTGTCCTGGGTTGAGGAAATAGTGAAGTACCCTGACCTATTTCTTGGACCTTGTGACCAAAATACGAGAGTACATCTGCTGCCTCTGTCAGGCAGAACCGGTTGTTAATATATAGGTCAAATTTACACTACTTTCTGTTTGTCTATTGATTATAAGCTTAGGTCTAAATGCCTCTTTACTCTATACTGACATTGTATAAGTGTACAAAACAAAGCTAATGTAATGCTTGTAATTATAACAATTAAAATTTTATTATCAGAAAAAATAAAGACAGATTTTTTTTTTTTTCAGCTGAGATTACATTCCTAAAAATAGATGAGATTAATTCAATAATAGGTAAGTGTTCAGCCTGCTTGTCTTATAGTTGTCATCTTGGTGATCTTCACATGATTATGCACTGCATAGCTGAGATGCAGTGTAAAACGTTATTGATTACATTTATTGTAATTGTTTGTTTTTGATTGGCAACTCTTATTTTAGAATGGAAAAAACGTATCCTAAATTTGAAATTGAGCCGGATGCTTTCAGAGGGCCTGTCATGTAGCTTTCTGTATCGGATGTAAAGCATTGAATCATAACTATAGTGTATTGTTGTTGCAGCGGAGAGGTTTGGGAAGAAGTTGGAGGAGTTGTGCCGGGAGAGAGGCGCTCTGAGGCTGGGTTTACCGTCCCGTCAGCCCGCGGTCTCTCAGTTCCTCCAGCGGCTCAGTTTGGTGGTGAACAGCGCCCTCCAGAGGACAGACGGCGCTGCACAACACAGGTCAGAATTATACCATCAGTTTAAATCAGTTACTATTTTGATAAAAATGAAAGAAAAAAATAGCAAAATATTTCAACACTTTATTTTAATTGCTTATAAAGTGGATATGATTGCCTTTAAGCCTACTCATCTCACCAATTTCCTCCTTTTTTATTCAAAACCATTTAAAACCCATAACCAACATTTATGGCTATATGTGTCCCCAAACAATACCTTTAAATGGAAAATTCTGCAGTCAGAAACTAGACATACACCTTATATATTAAATTTATCATAAACTACAAACTACACTCAAAATTATTATGTAAACCCCCAATACAGTTGAATATTGCTGCTATAGTAAAAGGGCCTATATAATTCTATTTTCTGAACTATATTTTAATGTTGTTTTCTCCTCACAACCATACCACGAGTTGTGTTTTGTTCCATTCATACATGTTTAACATAAAAAAAAAAAACTCTGCATATTTGGGTTGAGTTCTTTTCTCAAACCAAAAATGCCCTGTTCTACCTTGTGATGTCATGTAGCAATACAGGAAGTGTTCCACTGTGTTTTTAGATTTGATACAACTTCACTACAATCACTTGGATTATTTAAGGCCTGGAATTACCAATCTTTACTGAATTAAAGGTAAAAGGAGTTGTCAACATGAAAAGTACCACTTCATGACATCACAAGGTGTAACAGAGCATTTTGAGCTTTGGGGAAGCAGGCAGCTTAATAAAACAGGGTTATTCAACCATGTGTGAATGAAACAAAACACATCTCCAGCTATGTGTAATATAGGACTTTTAAAGCAATATATATTATCACATTTATTTATCATTATGCTCTCTTAGTCCTTGTATTCAGCGTATTTCAAGCGTGTATTCATATCCAAGTAGAAGAGCATGACCTTATCCAACAAAAGCTGCGTTTACTTTGAGAAACAGTAGATGCTGTTCTGTCACTGATTACATTATGATTTATGGAGGACATTTGATTCAATTATCTTGAATTACATACTCTTTTATTGTGTGTTTTATACAAATGGTTGTATATTGTTGTGTTGTTTTCTAGTTTCTATTTGAGTTATTGGTGATGGTTGGTCAAAGCCGCTAAAAATAACCGTCTGCTCAGTGTGACAGGAAAGACGTCAGGAGGAGTCTGTTCATGGCATGTCCTGAAAAACTAAAAACAATGGTTGACCTGGTGGCTTGTCTCTGTCACAGTTTAAAGTGATTAATAACAGGATAAAAACGTGTGAGGTCTCCAGAACAGCAAACCCTTTTCCAATAGAAGATTAAATGAGGTTAAAAATAGCTCAGATAATAATAATGGCCCTTATTATTAGCTTTCTCAAAGTGGTATTTTGATTAATTCATGCATTCAAGGGTTGGGTGCCCCCCATTTAAAAATGAATATTCAATTCATATTAATAATTATGATTAATTTACTTGAAAGTGTGGTATTTGTTCGATTGCCATTCATTTTGTAGCCCTACCAAAAACATACAATTCCAAAACATGTACTAAATATTAAAATGACTGTATGGGTGTGAAAATTCACTGAAAGAGATACAGGGATTCAGATTATTTGTTCATACAATGGTGTTATAAATTATCAAGAAATTTTAATTATTTACTTTTAATCATCTGATGTTTTGTTACCAGGGAGAGTACAGAGTCAAAAGGAGCAGAACGGAGAGAGATGTCCCAGGATCCTGCACATCGTAGAGATCGGCTAATCCAGGAAAAATGTCTGGTAGAGGTAAATATAATATGATAAGTGCATGCAGCTACGCCCATTTTTACATGGGAATTATATTGCACTACATTATATTTTATTTTCTCTTGTCCGATTCTACATTTAAAAGGTCCACCACCTTGTCTGTAATTCTCAATTTTTTTTTTTACTTTATGGACAAGCAGGTGATGATGCCACTAGGCAAAGTTGCAGGTCAAATCTGGGAAGAGGGAAGGCCCCTTCACAATAATAGGTGGTGGACATTACAAGTTACAAGCATCTTTAAGTATGTACTGAAGTGAATGTGTCTTTATTTTTTATATTATAATGTGTGAGCTACTGTGTCCAAGTATTTCTCATGTGGATCAATAAGTTTGTAAAGTAAAGTTTTCCTAGGTTCAACAGCTTTCATAATTCCTTACAATAACATTTCTATCATAATTACCCGTGTATAGATGGAGATGGCTGAGCTGCAGCAGAGGTTGTCAGCACTGGAACAGAGGAGGCGGAGTCTGGAGGAGCAGATCCAGGACCAGGACCTGGAGACCGAGTCTGAGGGTCTGGAGGCCTCAGTCCTAAAGACCTACAGCCCCCCACAGCTACAGGACCTCCACCAGACCCTACAGGACCTGCTCTCGTCACAGGACCGCAGTCTGATCTCTGTGTCCCCCCCGCCCTCTGTACTCAGGTCAGTCACAACACATGCACTGAGAGCTCGGAGTATCTATGAAACATTATTGACAATGAACAATGAAGTGTTGTGTTAGCAATTAAAGTAGTCTTAAAATTCTTATTGTAAGTGAGCAACTTTCCTTTAGCTATTAACAGTTCAAACCGAAATAATATGTCTTTTCAATGGTGAAAAGTGCTCAAAATGGCACCTATGAACAGGAAGTAAAAACCCATGAATAAATCTAATTTCAAATAACAATTTACTACAATAGATGCAAGCTGAATAAGATGTTATACGCTACGAGTTACAAAAAAAGGTAGGTAGAAACATAAATCTAAATTATGGGCATATATCTTAAAATGACTTTGTGCTGGAAGAATGCACAAAAAATATAAACAGATGAGCAACTGTAGATCAGCAATGTGAACTGCATGCGCTGTCCTGCCATTTGGACAAAGAGGATCCTACCTACTTTAGTTTATCTGTTGCAGTACTATTTGTGGCCTAATGGGGCTGCTAATGAGCCATCAATTATTTGACAGCTTTTATTTGATGTGACATTTAAGTGGAAGGATCTAAACATAGTACCATTTCACCAGCATCACCAATTTAAGCTGGTAATAAGAAGTCTCACTTGTTGATTGACTTGAACTAACTATTTCTAAAAAGCCATTTGGGCAATAAACATTATAGCTTATGGCACACACATTTACACAGCACTATCAGTAATCTCAATTTACCATGCATGGTTTATACGGGTCAAATCAAATCATGTATAACCCTTTACTGGTTTTAATTAAAAAAGTAAAATATTTATTTGTACAAACTTTAAGGAAAATGTATTATGACTATTAAAATAGAAAAATATGACAGTTGAATTATCTTCACTTAACTCTGTGTATATAGTAAATCTAAACCTCCAATTTACACCACCTTCCCATCTGCAGCTGCCGCATTATTTCTGTTGTAATTAAGCTGTAATGATCCATTTGGCTTTTTCTGATTTCTAGAGACGTCCCGCTCCCCTTTGCTCCCTCTCCTGCTCCTCCACTCTCACACCTGCACCAACCCGAGATGAATGTTAATGCTTTTCCCCGATGCTAATGATTTCTTTGCATCAGAAGTTAATAGCATGTGAGCGAGTCCCCATACTCGTTAGAAAAGCCATGTAAATTGCACTTATCTCCGCCTTCGTGCCGTGACCCCAAACGCTGTAGGAATAATTTGATACCTGACACAAACTCTGCTCCAAAGCTCTGATTTCTGCTCATTTTGATTGAAATGTTGACCTTAGCGGTGCAGTTTGTGGTGATGATAGCTCTTGTCATTTCACGCTCATATTGAGGTCTGACTTGCCTGAAAATATTAGATTAAAGAGAGCGACAGGTACTTGGAATTAAGAAGCCTGCAATATGATATAGAGATTAATAAATTTGCTACATAGATATGGTTCATGCCATTTATTTTTACATCCACTCCACTTTCCCAGTGGGATGCGTCTATTGTCAAAGCCAGTCTTTTCAAGTCTTTTGAACCATATCGCTTTTGTTTTTGGTTCTGATATCATCATATTTTAGTTATGGAATTCGGACATCGTAATTGTGTGATTGTTGGATGTCCCAACAGTGGAAAATGGCTCGAGAAATGGGCTTTGGAAGTTTGTGAACTCCCTAACTGCAAAAGGGAATCAGATCTGTGTGACTGCAAACATCCGTTGAAACTGTTTCCCTTCCCAACGGAAATAAAAATTTGTAATTGTAAATTGATCCACAGGAAGGACGAAAAAGGTAACCTTTGGCTGCCTAAGAAATCATCCCGAGTGTGTGGGGAACATTTTGTATGTGGAGTGCCATCAAAGCAAAATCCCGATCCCTTGCTCAACCTTGGTTACAACTTTAAAAAGTCAATGCCAAAGCGAAAGGCACCAGCTGTTCACCAAGAAACACCTTCCACTGCAAAGCGAACAAGACGTGATGTTGCTGTAAAGCCAGTCAAAAGTGCGAGCTCAGCCTGTTTGTCTTCTGTACCTATCACTTAACAAACGGGATTTTGCTTTGATGGCACTCCACTTACAAAATGTTCGCCGCAAACTCATGATGATTTCTTAGGGAGCCAGAGGTTTCCTTTTTGGTTCTTCCTGTGTATCAATACTGCCCATCGCCTTCACCTTTCAGTATTTTTCAATTCCGTTGGGAAGGGAAATAGTTTGAACGGAGGTTTGCAGTCACACACATCTGATTCACTTTTGCATTTATGGAGTTTGCAAACTTCCGAAGCCCATTTCTCAAGCCGTGTTCCACTGTTGGTACATCCAACAACCACACAATTACAATGTTCAAATCCCATAACTAAAATATGACAATATCAGAACCAGAAACAAAAGCGATATGGTTCAAAAGACTTGAAAAGATCGACTTTGACAATAGATGCATCCCACTGGGAAACCAAACATGGCAGTTTGATGCTCACTTTTTCGGAGGATCTTTCCCAGTAAGCATTGCGCGATGACCGGAAGTCCGAAATTCAGGATGCATGTATTGGTCAGCCTCTGTAATGTTTGGAGATAGAAGATGTATCCAAAAATGTATAATATTTTACTGACTGTTTTGGAGGTATGCAAAATTTAAAAAATATATAGTCTACAGTAAAAACTTAGCATTAACGTTTTTGTTATTTTTCAATACTATTAATATTTGAGGTGTAGAGGACAGAATAAATACATAGATAAAGTAATAATAAAGTCCACAGCTTACAAACTAATTACTGTGCCTAAAGTGTTTCATTCTGCTATTTATTTATTGCAGCTTAAGTTTTTAACAGTAATGTGTACATTTAGATTTGAGATAATCCTTCTTTAGGGTCATGTCAAAGGCATAAATTAGTTTCAGTATGATTGGTTATTGTCTGTATTTTCTTCAGAAATGTACTTTTATAATGTGTTTTCATGATAGGCTTATGTATGGTTCCTGAGCTTGACAAATAACTGAAAAGGTTAGACTCATATTTGAGATTTGATGCAATGAGAGCACCCCAAGGTGACTGTAATTATGCACCAGTGATAATGATAACAGATTTTGTGTTTCTATTTATTCATCTAATAATTAATTTATGTGGTTGCTCTGGTCTTATTGGTCGGTGCTGTTTGGATGTTGATAGGCGGTAATTGAATGCAATCTGCCTCATTTGGATCTGACATTCACCCTTTGTTTGTACTTAGATCAAACTAGACATGCTTGATAAATGAGTTTTTAATATGTGGATGCGGATATAGACATCATGTGCACTACTGTGGGTTAAATTAAGTCATATTTGATTGGATAGAAGTATGAATTTTACCTTTCACATCAAAATTGGAAAAAGAAAATGACCTCTCAGTCTCAGTTCTTACATGTTACACTAAATATTTAAACTTGTCATAGAAAATTTTAAAACTAAAATAATTGTATTGTGCATTTCATTTGACATTTTATTGTATATGTGGTGTTCACAAAGCAATACTAAATGGCTGGATACCGTACAGCAGGGGTTGTTGTGGATTCAGCTTCAACTACAATGAGAAAATGTCCGAGCGATAACTTAAGTTTAAATAGCTTTACTGAAAAAATGCTGCCAGTGTCAAATCATTCATTTTCTGTGACTCGCGATGTTCTTTCTGACTAGCTAAACATTTTTTTTTACCATTTATAACTGATAGCGCAGTCTTCTTCAGCTGAGCTTTTCAAAGACAACATCCTTTTTTGAAATGCAGAGAACCAGCGCCATCTATGGGTGAAAATGTCTGGTGCTACAACTGAAAGAAAATAATCCCTTTTCTGGTTTTAAATAACAAATACAGATATTATATAGCCTTTTAAACATTAACTTATTGTAGTTTTGTAATGAATTTAATCTGAATATATTTAATTATCAAACTGTAATTTTAATGGTGTAATACCAAATGATTTAACCATTTTTTTAACCTTCTCCAACCTGACGCTCGGGAGCTACCAGTAGCTCTCCACACCCTTCCAAGTCTCTCGCCAAGGGATTTCTGAATTACACGTATTGTCCTGAATAACTCAAATTTGATGAATTAGATGCCTACTATTTTTCTAAATCTACAGTATCATTCATAAATAAATAATGGTTTATGTTTTATGTTTTATCCAACTGTATCCCATCTCATCTCTTACTGTGGCTCTTATGTATAATTTATTTTCTGTGACCATTAAAATGAGTAGCTCTCTCGAATTTTCGTTTTGTAAAGGTAGCTCACCCGAGGAAAAATGTTGGATACCCCTGCTGTATAGCATTGCTGCCTGGTGTATGTGCTAAGCAATTTTATCAAACCATAATCAAATTTTTGCTTCTTTTTAGGCTTCAAGAGCAAGAACAAGCACTCAATCTATCCATCAAGGAAGCTACAGCAAAAGTAAGTCTTTTTATCTGTATGTAATGTATTCCATATTATCCCCTTTGGCTTGGATAGTTACATATGTGAATAACTGATGGCTTAATCTATTTGTCAAGAACGAAACATGTACCAGCTGTGTGTCTGTATTAAATATGCATATGAATCATTAGCATCTATAATTGCCTCCTTATTGGACTGTGAGGATAATGAATGTGTTATTTACGATTATATGTTAAGATAGATTCTGCGTGTATCCTCTTTGGGCTTTTATTGGGCGTTTTATATTCTTCCTACATTAGCTGCTGTACTGTATGTGTGAATAGCTTTTCATGCCTTTATAGAAACTGTCCCTGGGGTTGCTTCTTGCATCTTAGAGCCTTCTCGCTCACTCTCTATACGTATAAGTACACAGCTGGAGGCAAGCTATGTCCTAAGTAATTCAAGTTTGTGCAAGATAGTGAAGAACAGCTTGTCCTCTAAAAGTTATCTGAAAACATAGTAAGTAAGTAAGTAAGTGTACATGTTGTTAAAGTGACACTGGCACAACACTCAGGAGTCACTGCAAGTTTAAGTAAAAATGTTTTGTGCTATTTCCAGTAAATGTCACTGTCATTTTTCACCAAACCTATTAGCACTGTTGGGTAAGTTACTTCAAAACTGCAATGTGTTATTTGTTACTTGTTACTGCCATTTCAAAGTAATTTGTTACATTATAATATTACTGCAATTAAAATGTGAGGCATTACACGACTACTGCAGCACTTTAAACTTACTCTCAACAAAATAACTGTTGCTGATCGTCAAATAACAATCAGCGAGCGAAGATGCTGAACTTTTGTGCCGTATATGGACTGATCCAGGACTAAACCAGGACTGAACCAGGACTAAACCAGGTCTAAACCAGGACTAAACTAGGTCTAAACCAGGACTAAACCAGGACTAAACCAGGTCTAAACCAGGACTAAACCAAGACTAATCCTGGACTAGGACTCGGAATTTAGGACCACCCTTGAGAGAACCTCAAGCCCGTGGAGCGCAGCGTTCAATCTGGCGTCAGCTGCACTTCGCCCCGTGGAGCGTGGAGTTCTGCGCCGCAAAGCATTACAGTAATTTGTTACTTTTATAACACATTACTCCCAACACTGCCTAGGCTAGGTTACTTTCATCACTTAAAGGTGCAATTTTAAACCTGCTTGTCTCCAGGCAGATGTCATTTCTTTGCTTTGCAGTGTTACACAATATGGCATTATGTAGGATGTCAAATTGCGTGACACAGTTGCATGAAACAGTTGTGATTAAGCAACTTATGATTTCCCTTTAGATTTTTTTTCAACGAATAAATTGTGCAAGTGAAAAAAGTCCTTTTTAAGAGCAGAAATACCCCTTCTTACTTGTGCTTTGTCAAAATGTTGGACTAAACCATGTCATATTTAAGAGGAAAAAGCATTACATTCCTCCTCTGTGCTCCTCAATGGAGAGAGGTGGATTATGGGAAATGTATGCTTTGGCTCAAAGTGATTTTTTTGTAAAGGGCAGTGAGGGGACATATTTGGCGTTATCAGAACACATCACATCCACAGAAAAAGGGTGCGGAGCTTCTTATCCATCAACCCTATGACATTTAAGGCTTTTTTTTAACCCCATTTCTGACATTATTATGGCATCCTTCATGGGGACTTTCTATAAAGGTTACGGAGCATTTCGACTCTGATGGGGTCTGTGGATCTCAATGTGCTTTTTGGTAAAAAAAAATAGAAGGATAAATTCTTAATTTTGAATAAAACGCATGGACTTTTTCCGCAATCTCTCTTCCCCTCTCTCTGTCTCTCTCTCCTCTCCCTCTTTCCTTTATGTCTCCCCTCCCTCTATCCACATCTGTCCTCCTCTTAATGCCACCTCTCTTTCCCTCTCTCTTCTCAATTTATATCTCCCGCTCTTCTCTCCCCTGTCTCCTCTCCTGTGTCTCCCTCTCTCTTTCCCCTCTCCCCCTCCACCTCTCTCCCCTTCTCACTTCTGCCTTTTCTTCTTTCTCTCGCTCACCCTCCCTTGCTTCTCTCTCTCTTCCTTGTTTTCGCCCTCTTTCACCCCCCTCCATTCTCTCACCCCATCCTTTCCTCTTTGTGTTTTCAGGTGGTGATGAGTCAGAGGTTGGGCAGTAGTTTGAGGAGGAGAGTCAGTGAGACAGAGACTCAGCTCCTGGCGCTGCATGAAGCTAAACTGGCTGCTATCTCAGGTTATTACTGTTACAACCACACACTCTGCACAGACATATATTACACACAACCATATCTGTCAGAGGCTCTATTCACGCTCACGTCACAAACCAGGAAAACGTTTGGAAACATGCGATGACAACTTCCAGTGAGCTCTGTTCATGGTAGTAATTCTGGGAAAAAATAGAAAATGGCCCAGTTTTCTTCATCTACATGTCATTGTAGATTTCTGTTATGTTCATTTAATCGACAATTCCAACCATACCTCAGTTTTCATCATTTCCCCACTGACGCACATCTCTGAGTGCACTGGGTACTTGCGATTAGAAAAGATGAGGTGCCAATTCAACCTAATTCCAAACAGCACATACATATGCAGTCTTCATTTTAACGCTGATCACATTTACGTCAATGGGTTTGATCAGTGGGTGAGCCCAGTGTCAGTAACTCCACCGAAAGTTATCATCGCATGTTTCCAAATGTCTTCCTGGTTCGTAGTACTCTGTTACATTTACTTTTATAACTTTTAAATACAACTGTACTTCCCATTGTAGTGTTCAAGCACCATACTTTTACTTCTACTTGAGTCATTTATTTAAGTAAAAGTTAAGTTTACTCTTCCCCCTGTGGGTAAGTCTACAAGTGACAAATGTGCTCCTTCTATCCGTCCTTTGAAAATCCCATGTGTTATGAATTATTAGTGTTTTCTTCCAATTGCCCTGACTTCAAATTATAAATCAGATATTACATCCAAACTCTTACACTGCAAAAAGACTTGGCCAAAATTTAAAATATAAACACTTAAATCTATCAGACAATGACTTAAAAGTAGTGAAATTATCTGTCCATGCAGCAAGATAATTTTACTTGACAAGTTATCTTAAAATAAACTCCCTCTAGACTAGAGCAGTCTCTGCTAAGTGTTCATGGGCTGGAAATAAGTTTATGGATGCTAAATATTAGATAAACACACTTATGTATAAAGCAAATCTGAATCACTTAATCCAAAAACAAGTTGAGTGTTGCAGGGGAGAACGTTAAATTGGTAAATGGATTCTTTTAAAAATTTATTGCCTAAATTTAAGATTTTCTGGCTAGTTGTCATGGAGTCATAGTAGTTATGAAAGAAATATATGTGACTTTTTTTTTTAAGATTATACAACCAATTCAGATCTAGTAAGTCAATAATAAATCTGAAAACAAGATGAATAACCTGATATAAGTTTTAAAATCAGCGAAATTTGCAGTGGACGATTACTTTTACTAGAATCCCCAATTACTTTCTTTTTGTTCTTGCACTGTTGATGAGATATTACTCTGTACTATGGGGAACTGAAGATTTGTCCATAAAATTAACATTAGTGAGAAACATTTCAGAATAGTCAATACATTTGGGAACAGTCCAGGTGAAACAGCATTGTATTTCGCACTTTATGTTGTGTTTATCAATTACACCCAGATCTCCTCATTTATTCACCTCATTTGGATAATGCCATTAGCCAGTCTTAATTACTGTGCTAATGATTGAGCACTCGTTAATGTGTGCTGGGCTGTAATGTGGTCTTGTGGTGATCAGGTAATGACTTGAGTGGTGCCAAGTCTAACAATCAGGAATTATATCAGGGCTGAACCAGGGATAAAACAAATGTAAACCAGGACTAAACCGGGAATTATATGCAAACTAGACCTAAAACCCAATGCGTGCTGAGCTGTGTGGTTCAGGACTTTAGCTAAATCTTGTCAAATACTGGACCAAATCTCCTCCTAAACCAATATTGTCCATCAGCATTTGAGAACTACATATTGTGTTAAACGTACAGCAAAGACTGAACACTGTCATTCAAGGTTTTCTTATTGGGTATTCAGTTATAGTTTTTTTATTGTTAAGATCTAAACCATTGTTTCCCAAAGACTCGGTCACAAGAGATTTTTTTGGGGTCACCTTGTCACGTTCTGCATTATTCAGTTCTGCCTATAAGCTTCTGCGTGTTTCTCTCCTCCTACACCCCGGACTGGAAAGTGCTAACAAAAGCGCAGACAGGCCCACCTATCTCATTAGAAATGTTGAAATGTTAAAACATGTTTTATATAATTTCTAACATTTTGTAATAAATTTAATGACTATTTTGTTCTGATATTGCTGGTTCAATTGAATGTTGAAACGAAAAAGAAATGGGCTACATTTAATGTCCAAATAGGCGACTTATGGATCCTTTTATTGCTGGTTCAATTACTGTTTTTCATTGTTTAAAACTTGAGCAATACTAATTGTTCAGAGTGACACAATCACTCAGTAAACAATAAAATATCATCGTTAATGTTCAAAGTTCATCAGTGTTTATTTTGTGATTTGTGAATAATGTCTATTGACTTGGGTCGCAAAGGTTTGTGACTTTTAAAATATGGGTCACCAGAAAAAAAGTTTGGGAAACACTGATCTAAACTGTCTAATTCAAGACTAAAGAAGGACTAAACCAGACTTCATGTGCGCTGTGTTCTTGTGGTGATCCAGGAAATGACTTCAACAATGTCACAAGCTAAATAGAAAGTAAAACAGGACTAAACCAGGTTTAAAACAGAGCTTAGCCAAGTGTCATGTGCACTGTGGTCTAATGTATTCTTATGATTCAGGTAATGACTTCAACAGTGCCAAAAGCTAAACAGAGAAACAAAGATTAAATCAAGACAAATCCAAGAAGAGCCAAACCAGACCCCATGAGTAATATGTTCTAATGTATTCTTATGATTCAGGTAATGACTTCGGCAGTGCCAAAGAATTGAAGGCAGAGATGAGGGCGGTGAACCAGGAGAGGGAACGTCTGGAGGGGCTGACCCGCAGACTGCAGACCCTGAGCTCAAGCAGCAGTGAGGATCTGAGGAGACTGAAAGAGCAGAGAGGGCAGCTGAGACAGGAGAGGGAGAGCGGGCAGGCACAGCACGGTGAGTCACACTCCTGAGACACACTAGTGTAAACACATTTCTATGGCTAAAGAAATACTCTCAGACCACCAGATGTGAAGAAAGAGCCAGTTTTCCTCTTGATAACATTGTATTTTGCCATGAGGTAAACCCTAAATGCTGAACCTGATCATTTCTATTACTGACTAGACCCATTAACTTCTTCTCTTACAGCATAAATCTGCATTTTCACAATATTACTTTATCTACCCCACATCTGTATTAAATATTACTGGCCTGAATGGTGTGATATCATCTGAAACCCAACAATACGAATGAAATGTGATTTGTTAAAACTGCTCATTAATCTTACACTTAAAAGAAACCAGCAGCTTTTAGGATTTTTAATACAGAGGTGATTTATGAGGTTCAAGAGTCTGAAGTAGGACTAAAACTATGGTATCTGAACACTACAAGAAAAAGAATATCATTATAAGAAGTGTTTTATTAAAGATTAAGCAAATGTATGTGATTAAGTGAGAACTACCCACCTCTGTTAGTAAGGTATAAATGCTTAAATCTGTGTGGCTAGAACCTTTTTCACTTCAGTACTAATCAGAGAAAAATATATAGTGTGTATTTAACAATAAGACCATGTTTTTTTGCTTTCAGCTCTTTGTAGCAAGTCAATGTAAGAGAAATTACCAATTAATTTATGTTCTATTGTATATCATAAATGCTTGACAGGCGTATTTTCTTGGTAATAACTACAATAACTAAGGTTAGATTCACTTCAATTTAGTGCATAGATTTTTATAGCTCCGGTGAAATGAGGCAAAGCACCATTATGGCCACTGTCTGCCCCCCGATGTGTCTATGAAATGAATTGACTAATGACACAAAGACATTGGCGCTCACTGTAACGCTTTAGAAAATGTATTTAATTTTAGATCGATCAATAAAGTGTCCACTTAATAACAGCTGCAATTCAGATAAATCAATACGGACATAGGGCTGTATTAGAGGTTCTTTGTGGTTGTAGTTTCAAAGTAGAAAGAGAGCACTAGAGAGACTGAAGTATTAATCTTTAAATAAAATGCAGTAGTGTGTGCTGTGATGATACACAATTTAGATATAAAGGAAAAAAGCTTAGTGGTTGAAACACATTTTTATACCACAATGATAAAAAAAACCCCAACATTTTTTAGACTATGGAATTTCACCATGTAATTTTCAAAACTTAATACTGGTAGTTTCTATAAAATTACCATGTTGTCTATATTAGTTTGGATATAGAATCAGAGTAATTATGTAATTTTTTTCAGTATCTCTGTCATTACTTGGACTGTTAAAGGTCTCATATTCAGCTATTTTGTGATCTTTGTTATAATTATATATTGTTTCCTCATCAAAAATATACCTGGAGTTGTGTTTTGTTTCATCCACGCATGTTTAACACACAAATCCTGCACATTTAGAGTTCTCCCCCCAAACAAAAAACACACCTTGACACACCTTATGATGTCATGTGGCAATACAGGAAGTGCTCCACTGTGTTTTTAAACTCCATACACCTTCACCAGAATCATTTTAATAATTTCAGCCCCGGAATTGCCAATCTCTACTAAGATAAAAATAAACAGGTAGCTGTTAACTTGAAGACTACAGTTTAATGACATCACAAGGTGGAACAGAGCATTTTGCTTTGGAGATATAGTCAGACTAATAATAAAGGGTTACTGAACTATGTTTGAATGAAGCAAAACACAACTCCAGGTATCAGATGAAGAGAAGAGGTAGAGCGGTAGAGGGAGAGTCAAAAAGTAGCAGTGCAGGTGCTCTATGAGGGTTAACTTGAAATATAAACAAAATGTAGCCCTTACTAAAAATGTCAAAGTAGGCAAGGTACAAACCTGAGGCACATCGACTGAATATATTAAAAGTCCTTTATTACATGGAGGGACACCAATGTGTTTCGAACAGCCAGGCTGGCACCACCTAGTGCCTCTGCTCAATTTCATTTCTCTCCAGCGACTAGGTCAGGAATCGGAATACACTAGATGGTTTGCAAGAACCCCAGAAGTGCGAGTTCGGGCATCAGCCAATCAGCGAAGAGCCATACATTCTGTGTTGACAACGATTCTCGAGATCGAGGATTTAAAATTGGAACAAAGAGAATGTTTGGTGAATTTTATCAAGGGGAAAGACGTTGTTTCCCTTCTTCCTACTGGATTTGGGAAATGCTTAATCCAGTATACCAGTAGGCCTGTTAATGGGGCATTGCATACATGACTACCAAATAGCAGCGATTGGTTAAATGACAAAAGTACCCGCCTTCTGTCAAGCGAACGAATTCTACTGCTGCGAGGTCAGACGGTTTGTACGAAGTGAAATCAGCTGATGAATCAGGCTAGTCTTCTTCAGGGCATAAGGGTGAAACAGGACCCACAGGTGTCAATTGAGGTGTCAAAGATAATTACATATTAATCACATGACAAGATCACATGTCTATAGGAAAAAGAAATAAAAAAGTTGGCCAAACATGGGGAAAGTGTAGGTGATGGGCAGACACAACTCCAGGTATGTTTTTGAGGAAGTAACATTATAACATGGCTTAAATCTCACAAGAATCAATTTTGTGTAATATAGGATCTTTAATGTTCCACATATGATGCATGAACTAATGATTTCTTCTATCACTGCTGCTGTTGCTAGGTTGCAGTGTGTTACCCACTCTGCCATCTAGATCAAAGTACTTCCTCATTTACATATACTTGAATAAACTATATGTTCAGTACAGTGCCAATTTCCCACAAATATACAAGCGGCTCTAAACATTATTTACTTTCCAAAATTCTTCAAACAGTGAAAAACCATGAATTAAAATCTATTTCTTGAGTATCACTGCAGCATGGTTCCCCTTGAATGTACCTCTAAAACAATAACACCCAAGTGTGACTGTTAAAAAGGCTTTGAATCTTCCGCTCACTGGGACAGCACATCAATGGGCACAAGTTTTTTTCCCTGTGAATGAAAGGGAGATGATCCGCTGTCAGTGAGGAGAGCCTTCAAATGCGTCGCCAGCAGGATTGGCACTTGTTAACAGGAGGAGGGGGAAGCGTCTCGCGGAGAGGGCAGTCTGCTCAGGGAGAAATGAGCTTCAGTTTGTGTGAAGTAGCCAATTACCTCCAAGCGCTGTCTGCAAATATGATGTAGCCTATTCCACACAACTGACAAGTAAATTGACACATTGTAGTAAAAATGTAAAGATGCTTTTCAGTAATAATGATAATAATATACAAATTATTACAGAAGTTATTTCAGAAATTGTACATCCCATCAAAATTAGGTTGCATGTGTATAGGTTTTAATGTAATTCTTCACTCCTGTGTAATTATTTCTTATAGATGAAGTTGATGCTTAGTGTATTTTGATTGAACCACTCCCAGTCTCTTCATGCTTTCTGAAATAAATAAAAGGTAATTAGTGATTAAGGCACATTTTACTAGCCTGATTCATCAGCCAGTTTCATTTGTGGAAACCGTCTGATCTCACAGCTTTAGGATTCGTTCACTCCATGGTAGGCAGGTACTTTTTAAAAATTTAACCAATCGCTGCTATTTGTTCGTAACGTATGTAATGTGCAGCTAACAGGGCGAGAGGGTATATTAAGCTTTTTCCCAAATCCAGTAGGAAGAAGGGCAATAACGTTTTTCCCCTTGATAAAATTCACCAAACATTCTCTTTGTTCTGGCTTTAAATCCTTGATCTCGGGAATCGTTGCCAACACAGAATGTATGGCTCTTCGCTGATTGGCTGGTGCCCGGACTTGCACTTCGGGAGTTCTTGCAAACCATCATGACCTAGTCGCTGGAGAGAAATGAAATTGAGTGGAGACACTAGGTAGCACCACCCTTTACTATCCCTATACGGAAATTTGTCCTCTGCATTTGACCCATCCTTCACTGCTATTGAAACTGCAGTGGGTTCCAAGCCAAGGGACCCATCTCCATATCTGGAGCTAGGCTTGGTCAAGACTACCTTAACTGGAGGATTTTATTACCTATTATTATTTTTGTATAGCTAAAAAGACATTATGGAAGATTTAGACCTAAATAAAAACCCTGTATGTGTTGCAAATTCTATAACATGCACCGTATAAAACCCCAGCCAGGCACTTCTAAGCCTGAATACATCTCATTATCAAGAGACTATGCCCATTGCACTTGACAGGCTGTCTAGTGGTCACATTTACATATATCCATACACATCCATACAGGGATTAAAAAAAAAGTTCCTGCACCTGCAAAAATTAATGAGCGATAGTAAACCTCTTGACTTAAACATGAGCCAATGGTAAAATGCGTGCGATTTCTCACCACTTCCATACAAAGTGCAGTGGCCTAGCACTTAATTTGCAATAATCGTGAAAGTTCACAGTTTTATCCCGCCTTTCCATTGTAAAAAAATAAAAAAATAAAAAATAAAATAAGTCTATTGTCTAATGAACAGCACAGTTTATGGTTTAATTGGGGGCTTGGTGTACAATGATTTAAGTGCCTCTTTCGGTCAAAATTGCCTATGTATTGAATGGATGTGAGAGTTAATTTTCTGTATGTAAAAAAGCAGCATTGTGACAAATTTAAGATTAGACTTCCTTGCAAGATTTGTAAGATCATGCTATTTGCAAGATCTCTAACAATAATACATGAAAATTTACCAAATAAATATGCTGAATTAGTATATTTCTTTACAGTGGTCATGGTATTAAACAAAATTATTTGATAGCAGAATCTTAGCAATCCTCCCTGCTCTACTGCCTGTGTCTCTGATCTACAAGTAACACCCAGTTGCACATTTTGGCATCAGACACCTTCAGTGAAGCAGATCATTAAGCCATGTGCTCACTATTAGTGTCTTCTTTTGTCTTGTTTCCAAACAGTACCTCCTGTTGCCACTAGAGGGCAGCCTTTCATTACCACAGATAGGCTTTTTTGTTACTGGATGGGTGCACAGGTTGTAAGGCACTTGTTTTACTATTG